CCCAAACCCCCTCCTGCTGGGCCTGAAAACCAACAACTCCTCCTGCCAGAGCTTCGTCCTTCAAGCACAAGCCACCAGGAGAAAAGCAGCCTGGAGCAGGAAAGCAGAGGAAGTGGAAAAGCTGAGGAAGAGAGGAAGATTTTGGAATAGTCGCCGATAATAAATGGAAGGCGGAGGATGGGGAGGGAAGGGCTCGGGTCCTGCCCAGCACCGCCAGAGGTGGATGTCACAGGATGTCAGGATGGGGTTAATTAAAAAAAAAGGATTAATTAAGGTGCCTGGTCAATGCTGCAGTTGTGGTGCTGTGATTCTGGTGTGAAGAGAGACACAGCTTGTGGTGATATTGATGCAGTTGAATATTGCAGGTGTCTGCTGCTGAGAAATTTTCATTTTAGGGAAGCTGAACAGGAGCTGAGCTTTCCTCCTGTGCTTACCCAAAGCTCTGAGCCCAGCCAGGACCTGAGCAACCAGAGTCTGGAAAAACTCAATTCTCTTTTTTTTTGGCTCATGAGACAATTTAGGATATTTAAAGGTACTCAGTAATTGTTCAGGGTTTGTTCTATTTTTCTTTTTTGCACCATGTGTAGTTCTTTCCAGAGCCAAAGTGATCACTGAGTGGCTTGCACCCCATCACCGTGCCAGAGCAATCCACGCTGCTGTGGTGGTGTTTTTTGGGACAGGTTATCTCTGTTTCACAGGAATAATCAGTGTTCAGTGCTGGTTTTGTGCTGCCAGTTCAGTTTCCAGCAAAACCAGTATGAGCTGAGCTTTTCCATAGAATTGTCCACTTTGGTTTTTCCACTAAAAAAGTGAATTTTTGTAGCTTTGTGGGAGTGCTCATTAGCAGGTGTTAGAAAACTTGCTCAGGATTAGAAATTAGAGTTATTGGTTCCTCAGTGGGTTAAAACCAGTACCAATATAACAGAGTATGCACTTACATATAAAAAAACTATTGTTTGTTACTAATATATGTTCATGGTACTATGATTTTTTGCAGACACATTCCATATTTATTTCATTTCCTTCATTGAATGTTTATTTTAAAAATCTATTTTAGTAATATGAAGTTAAATATTTTGCCAAATCTTCTGAATAATCAGATTTAAGGATTTACTCAGGAACTCTGCATATTATTATATAAATATACACGTGGTATATAGGGGTTTTTTTGGGAGAGGGATGTTTGCAAAATATTTACACAAAGCTAATTGTGTACTAGGTTACCAAAGCTCTTTCACTGATTATTTTTTTGGTGTGGAAGGTTTAATATATCTAATTGCTGTTAATTAGTCTCCGTTGTGTGGCTTAGACAATCAGAGTGTGGTTGTTCAGGGTGAAAACTAGTAAAGAATAATTAATCCAAGCTGTGATCTTAGGGCATTTAGGAATATTTTAATGCTTTAACAACTGTTTTACTGTTCCACAGTCTCCTAACATGTACTAATAATTAGGGTTCTTGAGTGTCAGGATATTAATGAACGGCTTTGGAGAGCAGTTGTTGGGTTAAAAGTGAATTAAGGTGGGGATATAAGCAAAATTTGAAGGACAAAAATGAAGATTTTCATGTCATGTGGTGTTCAGTGTCAAATTTGACATTTTTGTGGGTAATTACAGAACTGTTCACATATATGTTTTTACTTGCAAACTTGTTCCAAATGCAGTTGTGTAGTTCTGGATCTGTGGGTGTTTCTAGAGCAGATTTTGTCTCAGTAGTGCCATCCTGAACTCCATTGAGGCGTGGAGATTTGTAGCTAAAATTTACCCAGGCCTCACTGTAATCCACTGAGTGAAGTTTAAAAAACAAAAAGTAGATAGAAATCAGATCGTTAGTGTAGCAAAATTATGTTTTTTCCCCCTAAAAAACAAGGTGAATTCCACTTAAAAGATTATTTCAAGCCTTAGCCTAAAAAACAGGTACCAGAGTTATTTTAGTGTGTTTTCTCTCTGTGTACGTGGAATTTATTTGCACAAACTAATTCAAGAAGGTTCAATCTGCATTTGTAAAACTGATTGTGCTGCACAGCTTAAAAATGGAGTTTGCAAGATTTCAGTTCCTGGGTGATTTGGGGGTTTAATTACCCAAACTAAAATTAATTACCATTGCTGTGCTGGCAGGAAATCAGAATTTCAGAGTCTGGGTCTTGGGGTTTTTTTTCTGTTTACACACCAGGGTTGTCTTGCAGTGGTGAATGTTTAGGGTATAATTGGTTCATATTGTACTACTTAATTATTGTGTTAATTAACGATCTTAATTAGCTCATAGTTAATGTGCCTTTAACAGTCTCATTTTCCCAGAGTGTTAAAAAGCTGCGTGGTCACTTCTAATTCCCATTTCTATTTAAAAATGGCATTTTAAAGGGTTACACGTGACTGCAGTCAGCTCATATTGTTAATTATGTTAATTGCACTCAGGAGCTGCTGCAGGTTGGGTTCCTGAAGGGGCTCTGGGCTCTGGAATGTCCCCCTGGATCATGTGCTGGGTCAGCTGCTCCTGCTCGTGCTCTGCAAATGCTCCTCTGTCACTTGGCCTCGCTCACTTTTCTTCACAAAAACTCCAGGTCTGCAAACAAAAATAAGGTTTTATTTCCAAAAATAAGTTTTAATAATTTTTTACTACCCTTTTCTTTAAATGGGTTGCTTATGGACAGCACCAGACCTAGAATAAGTTGTCTTCAATTCCTAATTTCAGAATGCTCCATTTCTGTTGCTTTATTACAAAACCTTTTGTATATTTAGGGGAAAAAAACACTTTATTTTGTAAAATAGCACTTTATTTTGTACAATGACACCTGGAGTTGCAGCAGCTCTGTCAGAACATCATTTTTGCTGCCTCGTGTTCAATTTGGCAGCAAGGTGAAAATCCTGCAAGTCTTGCACTGAGTTTTTGGTGGGAATAAGCACAAGTATAATGCTTGTGGCTTTAGGAACTAATGGTATTCACATTTTACTGAAATCAGGGGAAACGGAATTGAGGTTTTGGGTCATGTTTAAGCCAAAGAGGTGGTTTTGGTTTGGAGTTAGTTTTGATGTTTAGAGAGAGGAAAACAATGCTCCTTTCCTTCCTCATTTTGAGAAACTATCAGGTAAAATTCAGTTTATTCTCTTTTTACCCTCTCCACCCCTGCACTCGGCTTTGAGATTTAATTGTTTGGGGTTTTTTTCCCTATTTTGATTTATACTTTCTAAATTTTGGGGGTGATCTGAAGAAGGTGGCAGAGTTGTACCCAGTCCTGGTGGCAGGGACACTGGATTGCTCCTCTTTCAATAAATTGAACACTCAGTTGTCCCTTTTTGAGTCAGGATTATCATCAGGGTGCTTTTTGATAGTTGTGAGTGAATTTTTAATGCTTCAAAATCCCAAATTGATAGTCTAGTACAACATAAACTTAAGAATTACAGTTATTTTTATGTTCTGTGTAAATAACTGAAGAATTTTGGTGATTCAACATCATTAATTCCCAGAAGGGAGGCCAGCAGCAGGGAAGAACAGTTAATTATTTTATTTACTTTATTTTTAATTCTTCATAATTTTTTTTTTCTGGTTATAGGGTTTGTACCTCTGCTTTTCTGTACCCACAGGGTCCTTCTGGCAGTTAAGTTGCTCTGATGCTATTTATATAAACTAAAACCCAGAAATTGCTATTAATTTGTTATTTCCATTAGAGCAGCATGCAGGGAGATTATTGAAGTTCATGCTGCTTGTTTTGCTGTGGCCTTTTCAGGAGTAGGTGGCCTTAATTCCCAAGTTGCATTTTTATCCTTTTTAAACTGAATATTTTTCTTTGCTGCTGGAATTTACCACCAATATTTTTGTCCGTACCTGGATATGTGAAATTTGGGAAATGTTTGCCTTAGAACTGCTGCTCTAGTTCATGGTCTCTTTATTCCTGTTTATTTCTAGTTCCTGTTTATTTTCTAGTTCATGATTTCTTGGTTATTCCTGTTCATTTCTTTTGAAGGAAATCAATGTTTTGATTCTGGTTATTCCTGGTTATTTATTTTGAAGGAAATCAATGTTTTAAGGTGAAGATTTGGTGAGGAATTTCTGTTTCAGAGCAGTGGAGATAGAAATCTGTTTATTTTTTATGACAGATATACAAGGATGAATAGTGTCTATATTTTAATATTACTGTACCCGGTTTTTCCACTTTTCCAGAGCCCAACTTCCTGGCATTGTCTTTGACCTGCATCCCATTTTTGGGAGGGATAAAAATGAGGAAAAGGGAGCTTCAAGAAGGAAGGGGCCCAAATTCCAGTGGAGAATTCTCTTCTTTTGCCTTGCATGGTCAGGAGGGCTTGAAGGACCAGAAATCCTGGCTTGAATCAAGATTCTTTTCCCTTCTGGATTCTGTCAGGGTGCCGATTTGGGCAGAGTTGGTTTCTTCCTGCCCTGCCCTGGTGGCCAACCTTCCTGCCAGGTGTGTTTTTATTAAATTGAGGGGCCAGGACAGGGTTTGGGCATGGAGTTGTCCCTCTGGGATCAGGATCAGCTCCTCTCCTGGCAGGATTTCATTGATTTATTATTCCCTGTGCAGTTTATCAATTTATTTTCTAGACTTGGGAGATGATAAAGAGCAAGGAGAAGTGAGCATAAGATGGGTTTGGTTGTGATTGATGTCTGTCCTTCCTCCAGGGGCAGAATCTGCCTTGGTTCCATGGGATATTTACCAAGTCACCATTAAGTCTTAGCTCTGATTCTGCAGGAATTTGGATTTTGGTTTTGTTGAAATACTGTAAAAATTATGCAGCAAACAGACCTTAAGCCTATATGTTTATTATTTTTTAGAAAATAAATTGTATTTTTACCTGCTCTGGAAGCTGGGTATTGGAATTTTTTTCTTTTTTTTTTCTTTTTTGGCCCGTTCTTTGTTTGAGAGCTGCAATTTTCACAATTGCTGCAAGGTGTCACAGCCCAAAGCAGTGGGGTTTGGGGATTTTGTTCTTTATATTTTTATTTCTGTGGCAGAGTATGTGCTCTTAGCTGCAAAACTAAATGTTAAATTCCTTATGGCCACAGTCTGCTACAGATTTATTCATTTATTTTTCCTAATCAAGTCATTAAAGTGGAAAAACTTTGAGTTATTGATTATTTAGTGTTTGTAGATTGAACAGGAGCAGGGAGCACTTCTCATCAGTCAATATGAGAGCAGTTAGCTGTGGAATTTATATTTTAATTATTATTTTTGAATGATTGGGCTGCTGAGGAGCTGAGTGTGGCCCTGCTTGCATTGAAGGCACAGCTTTTAAGAGATTTCTGCCTTGATTTGGCTTTGTTGCTTTGCCTTGAGTGCAGGAGCTCATTAAACACAAGCTCAGTGGCTCACCTTGAGCTTTTATCAATAAAATCTGGAGGGATGAGCTCCCAGCCTCTTTTGGAAGGATTCTTGGAATGAGCCTGGATCATTTTGATTTCTCCTCAAGCTGAGGAATGTACTTGCTGCAGGAACTTGGGGTTTTCTGGGAATTTTTGCACCTTGTTTTCTCCTGTTCTGCTTTGAAGGAAATGGAGCCTTAATCATGCTGAGACCTTGATTTATTATTCCCTGTGCAGTTTATCCATGGCAGTCATCAGCACTTTTTGGGTTTTTTTGTTTTGGGTTTGTAGCACTTGAGATGTCTGATTTTTTAATAAATTATTTTTTTGGTAGAGAACTGCTTTGTAACTTTCTAAAATAATAGAATAACTTTGCCAAGCAAATTTATCAGTGCTATAAAATGGAAGGTCCTTATTTTTCTTCAGTAGCAATACTGTAATCAAAGGTGCAAAATAATGTGTTTGATGTAAGTGTCTGTGCTGTTAGAGATTGAAAATATATTGGATTAGGAGCAACCTCTAAACGAATTGAGGAACTAGAGTTATAAATCCTCTTTGCTTGTTGCCAAATGAGCTTTAAAAGGGAAAATATTTGCATATAGTATTAAAAAATATATATAATATATATATTATATATAATATATATATATATAAAATACTATATGCATATAGTATTAAAAAAAAGCACTGGTTAGAGAGAGAATAAATCAGAGAAAAAATCATTGCCAGACAAAGATTGCTTTGTTTTTTACTGAAAAAACCACAACTTGTTCATGCACAATAGTTACTTAATGAGCATAGTTTTTTTTCACAGAATTAAGTTTCCAATATATAGATGGGAAAAATAAGTTTCCTTTTATTTTTATGACAGATCTACAAAGATTAATGGTGTCTATATTTTAATATTACTCTTTGGTGTCTGAAGTGTATCATTTGCCTGTGTGTTGGTCAAACTCATTTCCTTAAAATATCCTATTTTACACGGCTAGTGAAATATTACTGAAGGAGATTTTGGTTGGGCCCAGCAGAAATATGTGAAATTATAACTTAGCTTAAAAAACCTTATTGATTATGCAAGATTTTAATCATTAATCAATTTAGGCTTATTTAAGTGTTTTTGTAAAACAACTGTGGATGTTTGAACGCTGCAGAAATCTTACTTCTACCTCTTGTGTAACATCCTTAAAATTCCCCTTCACAGATGTGCTCTGATGCCACAGGGTGTTGTGCACCTTAACTTGGGAATTCCATCTGCTTTTCCTTCCATTTTATTTATTTATTTTTTTTTTTATTGTGGAACACCAGGATGCCTTGTTATGTCCACCTGAGCTGAACTGATGGGGTTTTGTTCATGTGTGTGAGAGTCTTCAGAAACGGGAGGATTCTGTAATAAGTCCTGGCCAGTGTGATTTTCTGGTATTTTCTATGTATGTGGTTTGATTCCTTTTTATTTAAATAATCACCTGTTTTGTGTGGATGTCCCTAATTAATGGTGACAGCTTGTTTAGATCCACTCACACTGTTCCTCAGCTGCTGAATTTCAGTTTGGTAATTCTGCCTTGAATTGACCTGTTCTGTGTTCATGACAGAAATTAAAACCCTGTGTGTTTTTTGTGACTTGTTATATTGCCTTAATTCTGGAAGAATTAATTGCCTTAATTCTGGGGAAGTTTGGGCAGTTGTTGAACTTGGGGCTGAGGGATCTCTTGGATCACACCGAAAATTCAGATTTGCATCAGGTAATTGAGAATAAAAGGAAGAGTTTAGTGAGGACTTCAAGGGATGCTATGGGGGAATTGGGATGAATTTAGCATTTTTCTTAAAATAACTTGACAAATGTCCCAGATCTGGGGGTTTTTTTTGGCAGAGATCTGAAGCAAAAGCCAAGAATTGCACAGGTAACAACAGAATTTGGCTGGTTTGTCCTGTGACTTTGAGTGTTGTGTTCTAAACCTTGACTGGGAAAAGTTCCTTGCTTTAGAGCAAGGAACTTGAAATTGTCAAGTTTAGAGCAATTTAGAGCAAGGAATTTGAAAATTTAAAAGCATTTTTTCTTTTCTGGTGACAGGCAGAAAAAAATAATTGCTATGATTGTTTCTTCATTGGTGGAGAAGTTATAAAACTTGTTATAAAAGTTATAAAATGGTGCTTTGGATAATCTAATTTTGAGTTGTTTCCATCTTCAGCTGAGCTGTGCACATCAAATGTCCCAATTTATCCATCCTATTGTTGCTGCTGATTGGACATGTATTTTATACACTAATTTTGGAGCCCCTGCAAAGGAGCCTCCTCTTTTCCCTTCTTTTGCAGAGAGAAGGGGATTTCCATAGCAGGTCATGAGAGAAACATCCCTTCCCTGGGGGGCATCTCTGCTTTTATTTGAGTGCAGCTTGCTTGCTTTGATACTTGTTCCAAAGCACCTGTGATGGAATAAATGCAGCTATTTTAGTGGGGCTGTGCTGGCAGCTTGTGCTGTGTGAGATATTTTGGAAAGCAGGCACAGGGAAATGTGTTCTTCCCAAATCAATCTCAGTGTTTTGTGCTGGTTTTTAAATAATATTAATCAAAAGTGTTTTAAATCCACATTTGTGTGATAGGCTGGGCTTTGTGAGGCTGTGAAATTCAGGAGTGCTGCTCTGATTTGAATAATAGTGCCATATAAAAACAATAAAATCTGGGTTTCCACACTACCAGCTCCCTCCAATTACTGAGGAGATCTTTGATTTGGAGCTGATGAATCAGGTTGCTTAGATAAATATTTAGAGTGTTGGGTTGCAAAAGCAGATAATTTAGATAAATGGGAAAAAAATAGTTTCTGCTGTTGCTTGTGGTACAGAATTCCCAGATCTTTGTGCCTTGGGTAGGTCATGACTGAATGAGCTGTGGGAGCATTCTGACTTACAGAGAGAATTTATGGTAACTCAGGTCTTTACTTTGCTGACAAATGTTGGTTTGGGAGATGTGGATGGATTTTCAGAATTAAATCCCAGACTGGTTTGGGTTGGGGGGAACCTTAAAGCTGATCTTGTTCACCACAAGATCACCCTTGATTTGTGCTCCAGCTGAAGAATATTTAAGGGCTGAATTCTGTTGTGATGTGGAAAGAAATTGCCTTTCTGGGATTATGAATCCATTGTGCAAACAGTTTGTATTTTTCAAGTGTGGGTGTGCATCCTGTTGGGAGGTAATCACACTAAAGATCTGTGAATGACACTGACTACAGCCAACAGTTGTATAAATAATGATATAAATATCCATAATTGGATGAATGGGGCTCTTTGAGGAGACCACTCTTGAATAAAAGCTTTGGTGCTTGCTCCTTCTCTCTTTCCTGAGGGATCTTTGTCTGCCTTCCAGAGGGTAATGGAAACAAAAACCAACCCCAAACAACAAAATATTTAAATAAGTTCAAAAAATGTAAAAAATAGTTTTCATGCAAGTAAAATATTTAAAATAGTTTTATTGATGTAAAAAATAATTCAAGGTCATTTTAATGCAATTAAAATATTAAGAGAGTTTTATTAATACAAAAAAAGGTAATTTTCATGCAAGAAAAATATTTAAGATAGGTTTATTAGTAAAAGCCAACCTGGTTGTCAAATTTTTATCCAAATTTTCCTTTGTGTATCAAGTCTTTGTAGCCCCTTTGCTGAGAATGTCACATCTCTGACAGACTGAGCTTTTCACAGAGGCACTGCTGGTGGTGGGATTGTATTGGGGTTGATTGGATTGTACTGGGTTTGATCCCTCAGGGGTGCTGGAAGAATTTAAAGCTTAAACAACTCTGTTGGCTTGTCCAAGGTGAGTCACAAACAGGATATGCACTCACTTTGGAATTCCCTGGAAAGCAGAACTCACCCAATAACAATGTGGCCATGAAATCTTTATTTTTGGGTAAAGCAGTCACTGCCGCTGGTAGTGGGGTATTGGCAAAAAGGGAAATGGTTTCTCTGCTGATTCTCAGAATGACCAGGTTGGAAGAGACCTTCAAGGTCATCGAGTCCAACCCAGCCCCAACCGCTGAACTCAACCCTGGCACCCAGTGCCACATCCAGGCTTTGTTAAACACACCCAGGGATGGGGACTGCACCACCTCCCCGGGCAGCCATTCCAGAACTTTATCACTCTTTCTGTGAAAAACTTTTCCCTGCTATCCAAC